AAGAGAGAGAGAGAGAAAGAGAGAGAGAGAGAGAGAGAGAGAGAGAGAGAGAGAGAGAGAGAGAGAGAGATGGGTGTTATATGTTTGACAGTGTACTTTGTTTTACTGTGCACCAACTGTATTCTTTGTTTTTGAACATTTTGTTGTTGTTGTTGTTGTTGTTGTTGTTGTTGTTGTTGTTGTTGTTGTTGTTGTTGTTGTTGTTGAATGGAAAATGCAATGGTTGGATAGACGTTTTACAGCACTGGTAACAAATCATCATCTAGTGCCAAATCTGAGCCATAAATTGGCGCTCATGGTTTTACTTTTTATTCCTTTGGTCATATGCTCTCAAAATAGCTAACATTTTCCTGATCTTTCGTCGCCACCCATCTGTTTAGACTTCCCAATTAATTCGCCCTGAGTGTACCTCTGTCCTGTTTACCCTCAATTTTGCAAGGGAGTGCGAGATTTGGAACAAATAAGGTCGTGTATGTCCTGAACATGAGAGTTCCAAGAGAGTAACAAACATAAAAATGACATGCTATGGACGACAGTAAATAGTGCTAGGAAATGCAAACCATACCAGAGCCCCCACCACCGCCAGCCGGGTGGGTTTAACTTTAACTTAACTCATGCTGAGCAGAGGCTTTTGTTTGTATAAAAACTAGTTTATAGTCTAGATTTGTCCAGCATAAATCGCCTGAATAGTCTTTCTAAAAAATATTAAGACTACTTAAGCATAACCACATTATTTAAGTGTCATAATAAGATGATTATAATTCAATTCAAGTCGAATTTTTGGGCATTTCTTGAGGAAGAAAAACATTTCTTGCTCTATGCTCTTTTTACACATTGCATTATCTTTGAGCATTTTTGAAGGACCCGAGCTCATGTAACAACAGAATCGGAAAAAGGAAAGTAAAAGTAAAGAGCATCCTTAAAACTAGGTCGGACCCACTGTCTTTGGGCCTTCGTAATGAGCTCAAAAACGAAATTGGAGGTGTCGGTTGGGGGGGATGGGAAGGAGGGGGCGGGAATGGCCGAAGGGCTTTGCGGTCGCGCTTCGCATTAATAAAACGTAACAGACTCAGGTGCAGACTCACATTCCGCACAATGGGACGGTCGTGAAAAATTAGCGAAGACATCTGAAAACGACAACAAGGAAACGGTTCCCGCTCGTCCCGCTATTCACACAGTGGCTTCGCTCTGAGTCACGGGCACAAAGCACTGAACCAACAAACGTTTCAATTTGTTTGCGTCCTCCATTCCTACACATTAAAGTTGCATGACGACGCGTGTGCGAGATCCACGGAACAGTTCAACTCTCTTGTCTTGAATCGGTTGTTACCCAAAGCGTGTGGACAAGGTATTTTTACGTTTAAGTCGTCAGCCCCGGGGGCCTCTTACTGACTGCAACTGCCCGTCGACTCTATAATCCGTATTTTACTGCAATACTGGGAGAAAAACCCCTTGAAATGTCCTTAAAGATTTCTGCTGCATGTAGCTATCATTAAAACATAGATTAACAGCGATGAGACGCATTAACATATAGACAAAAATTCAGATTCTTAAAATTTCTACAGTAAGAAAATGAAAGTCCTCATGTTTAAAACTATGTTTCAATTTTGCATTTTGCGCGAATAATGGCGTGCAACAGAGCAGAGACATCCTGTACTTGTCTGTCGATAGTGTTTTTGTCTTGACACCATTATGGTTTCTTTTAGTCCGAAAAGCTGCACAAGATGTCAAAGACGTTATGGGGCCAGCCGTGACACGAAGACTTCAATGGGAACAAGGACAAAAAAGATGGGTTATTAAGGCACACAGCAGCTTCCAGTGAATAAACTGACGACGGAGACCAATTAGAGCTATCATGGGTATTCCCTTTGGCAGGAAGGCTGCGCTGCACTGCCATGAACTCCCGTAGAAAGGAAATAAAAAACGACCATTCAAAAGTCATTAAGTTACGTTACACAGGTTCTAACTGTCATAAAATGCAGGGTACCGTAGTTTGGGTAAAGGAGGATTGTGGGGATATTTAATTCTTATATAAGAACAAAAGAATATGGTTGAGCTGAAAGGGGGGGGGGGGAGTCGTCTAAAGAAAATAGAACATTTTACAGTACTTCCTTTAAAATGAAGACTTTCTGGACCCTGCAATTCAGGTGACGTTGAGAGTCTAATACGGGGTGCCCACTTTTGACGGGATCGGCCGTAATGGGCACCCCGTTTAAGATAACCAAACGCTGGGGGCTATCAGTGTTGGGTGTAGGCTTCGTTAGTTTGGTAAAACAGTTTCGGTTCTGTCGCCGTCGAAACATGATCCAGTAAAAACAATAGACATACGAATGGTAAGGCTAGTACCGCACTACGACAGTTTGTCCTGGGACAGACCCGTCTGGATTTTGAAACCTTTGAATTAGAGTGTAATGTACCGCACCTGTTAGGACAGGACATTCTTGTCGATGTGAGTCCCGAGCAGTTGTGAATTGCTACAAAATCGGTGGGACAGGACTATCCCAAATCCCGGGGTAATATCGTCTGTGATTATAGAGAAATATAGCCGCCTACTGCATTAGGACAAAACTGTCCCAGACTTGGTGGTCGCCTTCTGCCAAGATCATGGGGCTTGCACGTTGTGACGTATGATCACTTCAAAATTTGCCCCCGCGCAGGATTTAACTTTGGGGACAAAATTTTAAAAATAATTATCGTATTTCAAAACCGATTTCATATTCGGAATCAGCGTCTTAAAATAAGCAAAATGGCTCTTGGAGAATCTAATTTGATGCGATACTGTGTAAACTTTAGCAAATTATTTTATTTCTAAATTTTTATCGTCAATGGTGAAGTTGTGTATCAATGTCACCCGTTGAAACACACACACGCTCACACACACACACACACACACACGCACACACACACACACACACACACACACACACAAACACACACACACACGCACACACACACACTTATACACACACATACACACACATACACACACACACACACACACACTCACACGCACACACACACACACACAAACACACACACACACTCACACACACACACACACATGTACACACACATACAAATATATTATTTAACTCAGTAATTGGGAATTAAATTGCGTTCCTCGCGTGATTTTTGCTAATTTTGGGTCACTGATCACGAAAATCTTCTTATTTTATATTTGGACAATATTTATGAAATTTTTGGAATGTATTTTTAACCTCACCGCGGACAATAACAAAAAAGCTGCCTTATGGGCCGGATCAGTCCTGTCCTAGTGCAGTATCTGTTTTGACATGCAAAAAATCGACAGTGGGACAGGACAATCCTGTCCGAGACAAGAATGTTGTAGTGCGGTACTAGCCTAACTGAATGTCACTACGTTTCTGTTTAAGAAAAATCTTTTAAAAATACATTGCTTAAAAATAGGGTCAGTCCTTGGAAAAAAATAATGCTACAACGTATATTTCGTATTTAGATTCTATTTGAATGTCACTGCAGAAGCTACCACTCCGGCTTTTTTAATAACCTATCTCTGTAAGCAGAAAACTTTCGATTTTCAATCCTATTTCGGCGGTCCTACCCAACGGATGAATAGAAGTAAAAGCAAATTGGAAGTTAGTTTGTTCTATTGTGTTGTTCCCCGTCTCTGATAATGTGCGAGTGTGAGGACAAAATGACGCCTTAACGTGTTACAAGCGCATAAGCTCAAAAGTAGAATTGTCTTCAGAACGGACATGGATCTCAAACACAGGCCGAAGCTTGAATGGGCATCAATGGGTATCAATTGTAGTAGCTGGAACAACGGTCCTTTTAACCTCTTCTCCTTGAAGTTGACATGTAGAACGGCGTCGCATTCACCCGTGAATCAACCCACAAAAATGGCGTAACGGTCCGCCTCAACACAACATCCATAATTCAGCCTTTGCGTGCCTTGATGAAAAAATAATTTGGTTTCTTTTTTTTTATTTGCCCTGACCTCAATTGATTTGTAAGGCGAGACGAAACATGATACGAAGTAAAACAAAGTGTTCCTTCACGTCGTTTGTCTGAAGAGAGCTCTCCAATTCTGCTGTGAGTATTTTGCAAGTCTGAAACCAGTAATGGTCTATCTACAACTTGAATCTTGTTTTGAAAACAAAAGTCGTTGACCTCCCTAGCTTTGGTTTATTGTGATCCTGTCACTTTTTGGGGCCTCCCCCCCCCCCCCCAGGCCACCCTGATTCATCATAAAGTGAAAAATCTGAAACATACATTAGCTATCAAGGTTCTCCAACTAATTCTCCGCTCGGATGCACTGAAAAAACTATGTGTCACGAAGCGGTGGAATCAAGCGCTCTTCAATTTTTTTAGGCATACGGAGTTATTGGTGTAATCTTAAGCGTGTTTATTTGTCTTTCTTTCGGGGGAAAAATAACACCCATCTATCTAGAATAGAAGTCGAGATATTTGCGATTGAAGGAGGTGGGGGTACCGGATAGCCAGTTTTCTGAGGTAAACTTTTCGAGAAAATGGCCACCAAAGTTTGAATATATCTATAGCCTGAAAGTCCTTGAAAAAACTGAAAATGTACATATTTTGTGCCCTAAATCAACGTTTTTTCCAGTAAAATTCCCATTGAAATATCTTTTTATCTATACGTAAAAGGTGCTGAGCACCCCCAAACCCGAAAAAAAAAATTGACAAAAATTGCCAAACTAGGGGAAATGCCTTGGTTTTTGTTGTGTTTTTTTCCCATTATTTTGACGAGCGAGTGATTTTACCATGATGCTTCACATATTATTATTACTTTGACGTTTACTCCCAAAAACATGAAAAAGGGCTTATTGCTGCATTATTCTCTACCACAACTGTACGCCCTATCAACCACCCTAGCGCTCATAGCATAATTATAAAGAACTATGGGTATTTATTTTGTCATGTTTTAGTCTCCTTCTGTTTCGACCAACACACTATATCTATAGTTTAAAAGATAACAAAAAACAAAGTTCAGGGTTTCTATCAGAATGTCTTAGATGTGTTCTAGAGATAAAGAACAAATAAGCCGACACGGCTGAGCTCTGGATCCTCAAAGGTCGGCCGTCATATCTGGGTGAGGAGATGTGATTAATTAATTGCTTACATTCTTGTGCAATGAATCCAGCCACTGATAAGAATCTAAAGGAGCAAAACGACGAAGGCGTCACGTAGATTTGGAGGATAACGAGCATCGTCTATTTTGAGTTTTCGTTACAAACGACAAACCCAAGTTTATCTTACTACTAGTAGAAACGAAAGTTTTCAATCCCTTTCCAGTTTACTTAAGATAAGAAGAAACTGAAAGTGAATTGAAAAGGCGATATTATCTCAGAATATTGCACATTTGCAGCAGTTTTCCTGTTGTTTAAGACGTTTTAATTAATCTTTTAGAAGTTGCATTCTTTTTTTTTCAATTTGAAAATAACGAAATGATGTCCATAGACTGGGACACTTTCTATGCACTTTTTAATATGACTGCCTCCTTCGGTCTTCCCTCTGCATGACTGTATGTATGTATGTATGTATGTATGTATGTATGTATGTATGTATGTATGTATGTATGTATGTATGTATGTATGTATGTATGTATGTATGTATGTATGTATGTATGTATGTATGTTTGTATGTATATATGTATGTATGTATGTATGTATGTATGTATGTATGTATGTATGTATGTATGTATGTATGTATGTATGTATGTATGTATGTATGTATGTATGTATGTATGTATGTATGTATGTATGTATGTATGTATGTATGTATGTATGTGTCTGTCAATCTTTCTGTCTGTCTGTCTGTATGTATGTATGTGTCTGTCAATCTTTCTGTCTGTCTGTCTGTCTGTCTGTCTGTCTGTCTGTCTGTCTGTCTGTCTGTCTGTCTGTCTGTCTGTCTGTCTGTCTGTCTGTCTGACTGTCTTTCTGTCTGCATGTACGTATGTACGTTTGTGTGTACGTATTGTGTATGTATGTACGTATGTATATACTTATGCATGTAAGTATGTACGTAGGTATCTATGTATGTACTTAAGTATGTCTTTATGAACCTACCTACATACATGCATGCATATGTCCGTGTGTGTGTCTGCTTGTGTGTATGTGTGTATGTGAATACCTATATGTATAGTTCAAGCGTCAACACTGGCGATAAAAATATTCCACAAACGCTCCATCACCTCGCAGCGCGTAAAGAGTGTGATTACGCCCAGCTAACTAGATATGATGAAGCGTCTACCAGAGCAAATAAGAGGACAGGGGGAAACTGGTGTGAACCGCAAAGGATTAATCAAGGTGTTAACATACTTGTGTTGATGCTCTTTTGGGGAAAAGAGGAGATGGGCGTGGCTGGGGTAAGTAGGGAGTCCCTCTTAACCCTAGGTCTGAGGGTTGCTATGAAGAAAGTAGGTGTCAAGGTGGGGAGGGGGGGGGGGGCGATGCGAAGGGGTATACGACTGAAGAAGATGCCTGTTAAAATGAAGTGAGGAAAAAAAGAGAGAAAGAAAATAAATTACCATTTTTATGAAATTCCTATGAGGACATTTGGGTCCCAAAAGTACAAGTCTTCGTATGTGGTGTAGCGGTTAGGCGCTTCGCTGCCGAAAGCACGAGACCCCAGTTCGATTAAGAATCCTGCTTCCTAAATAATCAAAGATGTATCGATGGGGCCATAAAAAAACCTAATTTTTGTAAAGTCTAAAGTATGTCTGGTTACCTGAAACGTAACAGCACCTCGAGGAATAATGCATAATTATAATAGATTGCACTTTATAAAGTTCTCTATCCCATACTAGTGTAAGCTCTGAGTAGTACATCCATTCACAATTTCAGTCGAACCTGTTCAAGATGACTATCCATTATCGAACAGAAAAGTGGTCGTAGGTGGCACTCTCGGAAAGTGTCATTACAATATGGGGTTGTGAGTGGGATTGTGAGAGGGGTCGAGGGGGGGGGTATAGGTGGGGCTATATTATGTAGTTATCTGAGTAATTATACATTCAGCTATTTTTGTTTATTTGCCTATTCATTTGCTGCTTTTTGTTTCGCTATAATAGGTTTCCACTTTTATTTTTTGCTTATGAATCACTATAACTATTTTGATTCTACTCATTTCAAATTGTGTGAGAATTCATGCAGCTTAGTTCTTATGTGTAGAGGTGTTTGTAACATATTGTAAGACACCCTGCACATGTAAAGTTATAAGTACTGTCGACATTGTCTACGACGGTCACCGATTGTCGAGCAGAAAAGTGTTTGTCTTAGACAGGAGGATGTCTTACACAGTGCCATCATTGTGTTTTTAAATAATTTACGAGAGAAGAACAGAAATGTGGACATTTGTACAGGAGATTGTCTTGTAACAGGTGGCCCTTAGCGCAGGTTCGACTATAGAAACAGACGTTGGAGAGGATGCATACAAGGAAAGTTGATCTTCTAAGGTTACTGAAAAAAAACCCGCCGATATCGACAGGAGACGTAATTAATCTTTTTTGTGTGTACATAATATTCAATTTTATCAATATATTCATGTACCTTTTAATTTATATGGCATTAATTAAGATTGCTCACTTAGTGTGCTGGTTGATCTATTTATTCGTGTTGTTTTCTTGTTTTGATTTCGGTTGTTCTTGTTGTGTGTTTTTTAAATAGATTTTTTTGGGGGGGGGGGGGGGGGGGGGGGCTTTGTGTTTTACACAGACTTGTGCGTATTTATTAATTGGATTTTAAAAAATAATTTGTATTCAGGTATCTACGTGGTTCGCCAACGCACGACGACGTTTGAAGAAAGAGAACAAAATGACCTGGTCTCCCAGGAACAAGCCAGGGGAGCAGGATGACGACGACGATGATGACGACAACAGCAAGGAGAAAACAGAGAATGCAAACAACAGTGATGACGACAGCGAAAACGGGAAGACAAACAGGGAGGAACAGCACAGCACTGACAGGGGTAAGCGCTTTGAAGTGCACGTACCTCCGCGAGAGATGGATTGATTGAATGATTGATTGATTGATTGTGTGGGTGTGTGGGTGGGTGTGATTGATTGATTTATTGCGGAACTTCTTTTCTATACCGACCTTTTGCCCTTCTGTTATCTCGTTTTTTATTTTGGCATTGTCTCCCTTAACTCCAGGCCTAGCAGATTAATTAACATTTGATTTTGTGTAGTTTGTCAGGTCCTTATCTCAGTGTATGACTTCGCATTTTAGCAGAAAAGGAAAAATATCTGTTGAAATCTGCTGTTTTAAACATGAAGGGTTCAAAACCTGCGCGGATCACAGATAAGGCCTTACAACTCGTTTTTTTTTAAACTCTGCGTAGTCCTGAAGGTTTATGGAGATAAATCCTTGTTCTTATAAGCTTAAAGATGTATTATTCAAAGAGAAATTTCCTCGACTAGTTAAAGTCGTCAGGGACAATCTATTCAGAGAGAGAGAGGGGAGGGGGAAGTGAGAGAGAGAGAGAGAGAGAGAGAGAGAGAGAGAGAGAGAGAAAGGGGGGGGGAGAGGATGGGGTTAGATAGATAAATAGATCGACAAACTGACAAGAGGGTCGAGAAGGAAAAAAGGGGGAGGTGGGTCTCTACAGTGACTTGTAGGTGAAATCTCAGAAACTTGGGAGAAAAAAGAGAAAGGGGGGAGGACCACGGAGAGAGATAGTTCGACAAGGAAAAACAAGGATGGAGGATGGAAGAAAGGGAGAAGAAAACAGGGGGGGTCGAGGCGTCGGTACAATAAGAAGATGGACTGGTCTCAGAGACTTAATGAGGTCCCCTAAAAGAGTCTGTTCTCCGAAGGTTTGATTACGCAGTTCTTGGACCTGTGACGACTGTCTGAGAGCGGTCAATCTGACCTGCGGACACCTGGAGATTGTAAACCGCTCACTGGCGTGTCGTAAACTGCCGACGTGTGCCTGCTGAGCTTGTCATGCGCACCGTCACCCCGGACCGTTTTTATTGGCTCAGCCTGACAATGGCGTACCTATGATGTAAAGGCGACGTAGATAGAGGAACAGGTGCATTCATATCAGTGGGGGTCACTGTAGTAGTGTGGTGTGTGGTTCATGCCTTATATTTGACAGTTCATAGGTTCTATTCCTGTAGAATTAGTAAACATTTTGCTTAGTTTCCAATGAGTATTTGCGGTTTTCCGATTATGGGGAAAATGACCCACACGGGGCAACAGCTGACGGATCTTTATAAATGTAAATGTTTTTGCCCCCCCCCCCCCCAAATCGACACAATTTAGATAATTTAGGAGGCGGGCTTTCGATCGTGCCTCAGAGCCAATCCCTGCTGAGAGGGACACAGCACCCCAGTAGAAAGACCGAGATACTCAGTACAAAAATTTCTCTCCACTCGGTAGGTCTAATCGAGCTCAAGTCTCCTGAGCGCGGCAGCGAAGTGCCTAACCGCTAAATCACACACGCTGCTCCAATTGGAAAGGGATTTCAAAACATGGCTAATGTTTCTTGATTTGCCTGCCTGCACTCTGGGTCTTCTCAAACTGATTGTATGTTGGGGGGGGGGGAGTGTAGGGGACAGAATGCAAATGGTGCTGATGTCCAGGGCAATCCTGTACGATGTGTTATTATTGTTGTTGTTGTTGTTATATTGCTGTTGTTGTTATTGTCGTTGTTGTTGATCTTGTTGTGATTGTTCTTGTTGTTGTTGTTCCCCATGGCCTGTATTGTGCTATTTGCTGACGCTATTGATGGCTGCACGAAGGTTCAGGGTTCGATCTCGAGTGGTATTCCGTTTTCTCGTCCGTCTTGGACTGTGTTCAGACAGGGGAGAAATATTCACCTTATTCTAAATACAGTCGAAACTGTTCAATAAGACAACCACACATTGTCCAGGAGACAAGTAGTTGTCTTAGACAGGTGGACGTGTTGGTCAGCGCTAATATTATAGCTGTTTTAAAATAATAACTTGAAAAGGGGAGTTCGGGGGGGGGGTATTTCTACAAGCGATTATCTTGGGCAGGTGCTCGGTAGAGTACTCAAATTAAACTATGTCTTGTAGGGCGTTAACGACGCTATTCTTAAACAAAGTTAATTTGAAACTGTAGGTCTGTCCCACATTTAGGTTGGGGGGGCAATTTCTCACCTATTTCTGTAGTACATAGCAGTGTGTTGTGAAACACCATAACCTGACGCACATAATTTGACACTAATCCACACGGCGGGGCTTTCCATTTCTCATCCTTCGCCGCTTAGACTAAGAGACTAAGAAGTGAACTTTAGTTTTACAGATATCCATAAGCATTTTACTGTTTCTTTGTTTGTTGATGTTGATAGTGTTTTCGTTTTTTGTTGTTATCGTAGCCGTTATTGTTGTTGGTTTTGTTGTTGTTGTTGTTGTTGTTTTTGTTGTTGTGTTTATTGTTGTTTTTGTTGTTCCTCTTGAAAAATATTGGGGGGAAATGCCAGGTTTGAAATGCTCTCTAGTTCAAACCTGTTTCAAACCCGAGAACGTAGATGATAATTGTTCATCACTTTTCTTGGCCTCAGTGGTGATAAACGTCAATCAGGGCTCACACCTCCTTAATAACCTAACACATTTTTAAAAGGTGTGAAAAACTAAAACGCGCAGCGGAGACACCTTCGAGAAAACGAAACGTCATAGTCTTCTTTTTCTGAGGGTATGTTTTTCGTGCCGTCCTAAAGGGGAGGTGGTTGTAAATTAAGGTAAGAGGGGTTGAACGTGGGCGGGCTGGTTAATGAAGCCGACGTGTGTCAGGACAAATCCTTCCATTACCTCGGGCTTACCTAGAACGACCAGAGGACAAGACTTGTGGCATACGACGAGCATCCAACCCAGAAGTGGGAAAAAAACAGAAGGAGTAAAAAGATAAGGTAAAAGCAGGGAGGAGGAGGAGGAAGCATGGAAAAGGGGAGGAGGAGGGGGGAGGCGAAATTAGCAAAATGGTGTAATACTCGGCGTCAAGTTATGTCTTTGTCTGGAAGATTGATTAACCTAGAAAAGTTTGGTCACATTTCATAAAAGCACTCTCAAACTGCAAATACATTTCACCTTTGTAAAACAGAATCACACACAAAAGTGAAACCTATTTCCCTTTAGCGTGTAAGGATTTTCATGTCATAGCTATCCGTACGGATGATGCCAGTCTTTAAATAGCCGTTTAACAGTTATTTGCTGACTCTGAATATTTTTTACACAGTAGATGTGTCACTTTTTTTTAGCTGTACACTCCATTTTTTTTTCACTAAGGTGAATTTCATTTCCCTCTTTGTCGGTGGTTGGCAGGTGCTCTGGTGTGGTGTTTTCCTTTTTTCCCCTTTAAACACATGTATTGTCCTGACCTCTCCACCTTGCTTTGCACATTACTCTCTTGTAACACCTCTAATCATAACACATAGCATGTGACGTATTTGTGTCGCAAGTGCCGACAAGTTTATAATAAAGATAAACGGAACTTTAGCTCACTGGAATAATACAATGTAAACTTACACTTGTTTCTTGGTATATGGTTTTATCTATTTATTCATTATTTACTCCACATGGAACTAGAGTTATCTGAAACATCAATTTTACCAAGACATCGTAGCTGCCGTTCATATCACACCATGAATTCTAGAAGAATGGACATTTTACTTGTTTTCTCAACAATGTAGCGGCTGCACATATTTGGTCTGTAATATTGCCCCAGTTTACCATTCCCATCAGGTGCTGTCATATTCCTGGACAAAGTTGAGATTGTATTGGGGGGGGGGGGTGCGCTTGCACTCCTGGAGCGTGGAGATTTCAGAAGGTGGTCTAATACATCACATTTGGATCAAAGCACATCAGACTGCAATACCCGTCAACATTGGCAAGCATCGTGGGGGGTCAGCCTGTCCGTGCAAGAGAATAGATCATGTCTTATCCCCTTCGGCCATGTCGCCTCATTCGCAAGCATAAGAGAAGACTTCAGGGGTGGTAATTCGACGCTGTTTTTGTGCGACAGGCCGAGCCGACATGCCATACGTTCATCTTCGTACGCAGCAGCTGGGCTTGCATTCTGAACACGTCCCGTAGATAAAATCCCGAATGAAATCGTAAAAAGTCAAACACTATGCTATAAATTCAAGCCTCGCATCTGTCTCAGATCGGGCTTTGTACGTCCTCCTTCTACATAACCATTAAAGCCCCTCGCCATTAGTCACAGAAGGTAGCCGTTTCTCTTAGTAAAGATAATGATAAGTAAGGAATCGCAAGAGGGCAACAAGTCTGTTTCAGCAAATACCCTCGTCAGGTTTTATTCATCCACCAGTTGGCCAAAGTGTAGAAACAAGAATCCGCTGAGACCTCTCTTCGTGTTGAGAACTGCTCCGCCGCGAGTAGTTTATGTCCACACAGCACCCTCATGGAGTATAATAGTGTCATTGTCTACGTGATAGAGTGAAGCCAGTGACTTTGTGGAGCATTCTGCCTTTCCAGAACATATTTTCGCCATACACGAAAGCAAGTGACGAGGGTATCTTACAAATTTTGTCTCCAGTAAATGTGTCCTTTCCAGTTACGTTTTGTTGGGTCCTTCGGTGCAAAATGTTTGAAGCGAATCATTGTGACGGTTTACGTGTGTGAGTGCGTGGGTGTGAGGGCGGGAAGGAGGGGGGTATGGCTCGCTAGTTTGTCAGCGTCCTTAGACATCAGGCCCTGAAAGGATTTGTTACTGGCATTTACTTACAGCAGCTCATGGGGTGAGATTGTTATAGCATTCTAGAGTACGCTAGGGATTTTCTGACACGTGGCAGAGTAATAAGGAAAGACGAGGACGACTATTCGAAACAAGTTGACGAAAAGAGGCCGATGTTACAGCCGGCTCAAATGAAAACTGGCATGGCAGGCTGTCTAAGTTTTGTTATTTCATACCAAACTTCTCTAAACCAAGAGGAGTAAGGCGTCTCATATTGCCAACTGATAAATATCCTATTTTAATGATTTT